TGTGACACAAATATCTGTTGTGTATGGCAATCTCTTTTTCTAAGGCTATATGTTGGGCACTAAATATTACAATGGAAGCAGTTATCAGTATATGCAGATGAAATTATGGAAAAATACAACATATTTATTAATCTCAGATAGCAGAAGTGGCCTCGGATTGATATTTCCAGTATTCTAGTTTGCATGTATGTTATACTGTTAGTATTTTTAGGGCTTTATTAATAAACAGTACAGAAGTAGACACTTCAATGTTTTCCTATGAATCATGGTTGTTCATACATGCCACACAACTACAGAAATGTATATAAATGTTCCTGTTTTAACACAATGAGTGTATAAGGTTTAATTATTTTCATATTTTTGCCCCAAAATACTCTACATTTTAAACCCTTCCTTCCACATCTTATTATAGGCTGAAAAATCGGGGTTTGTTTCCCGTCAAAGGCAAGGACTTTTCTCCTTCACAATAGTCAGCCAGTTCCTGAAGGTGACCACTCACCAAACCCTTCCGTCGTGGTTAAGAATGCATCTGTACCTCCACAACACCTACACGCCTCCACGAAATAATGCTTAAGCACAGGGCCAATCGTACCTTTTATTTCCACTCCCCAATTTCTTTTCTTAATCTTTGACAACTGCAAACATTCTTGTCAAAGTAAAACTACTATTTCATTTTTAAATTATTAAGATCAATCTTTAAAGTTAATTTAATAAATATTTCACTTACTTCAACAAGCTGCAATTTCTTAACCATTTATAATCACTAATATCGCACCAGTAACAATAAACTGACACCATTCAACGACAACAACACATATGTCACACCATAACTGTCGCCATGCTAGCGCTCCTATCCAAGTAGGTATCAAAAATGGACACATTGCCGCCACTAAGATCACAGTTTATACCATGACACATATTCTCTGAGGAGAATCTAGTCTTCGACGCGTTATCATTCGCAACATAAGTTCTACCATTTCAGAGAATACCAGAGAATATTTAAGTAAACAGTATTATTCGCTGGCGCTACAGGAACAATTTGAAACCATGGTCTGATACATATAAGGCTCAGGGAGATGATATCTGTCTACACATGTCATGGCTGGACAGTTTTTCAAAAATTTGTTACAGATATTTTAACATTTGAAGTTAACCCAGTATCGCCCTACTTGATTTTCCACGCCTAGTAATATGAAAATGATGCATGACCAAAAATTATGAGTTGGGTTGATGATACGCAATCGTCTGTGCGTATATAGCATTATCAGACTTAAGATAACCTAATAACGTTAAAAATAATGTGCATATCAACAATGGCTTTAGTTAATTTCTGTGTTCTCCAATGTTGCAACCGTAACTGAAACTGACTCTACGTTTGAACAGAATTTTCTTATCATTAGTGGGAATGTCTGTAACTTGATCATGTAAAAATGTATTTCTCTAGAAGTAAACTTTCATCAAGTCTGTGAAGTTCATAATTTTGTATAACGTTCTTTTCCATAGTGAAAAAGTCTTTCAGTATCTTGTAAACAAATCCTTCCATGATAGGCAAGAATCTATTGAGAAAAACCTCACTCCTAAGGTAAAAATAAATCTGTCCCTCTATACACCATATTGATGCTGGGGAGGGAAGGTTATATATATTCTACTCTTAACCTTGGCACTAGATGTGGGTGAGTAGTCAGTGTCACTCCTAGCCATGGTTTACCCCTGGGAAAGGACCCCAGTACCCACTAGATAGGAGGCTAGAGGGCCTCAGAGCCGGTGTGAACGCAGAGGCTAGAGAAAATATCATCTGCCCTCCAAACATTTAGTATTCAATACCAAGAATTGTAACAATCTGTGGCTTTGTCAGATTTTGGCATCTTGGGAAGAAATCTCTAATGTGACTGGTTTAGTTACAGATCTTGTCCATGAAGCTGTCACGTTACACTCCTTCAGAATTCCAACTCCTTTATTAAAATATCCCAGTTCTTTGGACCCTTACAAAGGAAAAGATAATAAACTTGTACGTATAATAAAGCCAAATCTTGTACACATTTCTGACCAAACTTTGATATACTACAGAACATAAATAAGTTCATTGCAGATGCAGAAGAAAACAAATTTCTTTTATCTTATACCAGTCCATGACGATGTTAATGATACAAAATACAACCAGTTCCTCTGATAGATTGTATAAGTGAGAAGGGCATCTAGAACACTCCCACCAAGAATTTAAAGAAAGTTAGTGCCAATAATGTCAAGGTATGAGACATAAATATGAACCTTTTCCATTAGATAGACATGTCTCATGAATGTGAAGTGCCTTTTTTTGGAGATCATAATTTTAAATTAACCAGAATAATTTGCTCAGACTAAGTTCATATTATCTACAGCAACTGATGACAAACAAGAAATATTATAGTGATAACTGTATAATAATTCATTCACCGTCGATACACAAACTTAAAATGTTGTTAAAATTTACTTAAAATTACATAAAATTACAACATTTTTTAGAATTAGATCTTGATACATTTCATATTTGACGACATGTTTCGGTGTATTACACCATCATCAGGTCAATCAATTTAAAAACTGTTTTAAAAGCTGTTGTCAAACGTATCAATATACGCGGAGCAGGATGTACAACAGCTTTTAAAACAGTTTTTAAATTGATTGACCTGATGATGGTGTAATACACCGAAACATGTCGTCAAATATGAAATGTATCAAGATCTAATTCTAAAAAATGTTGTAATTTTATGTAATTTTAAGTAAATTTTAACAACATTTTAAGTTTGTGTATCGACGGTGAATGAATTATTATATTGATTAAACACAAACATGACGCAGTTAAGATATAAAGTGATAACTGTCTTCTGGGATATGCTGTGTAGTCTGGTAGAAGTTTACTAATGTACCAGAGGGATAAAGTCTTGAACATCAGGATGATGGATCCATCACCTTGATGGAGGAAGCATGCACCTCCAAAATGTCGGTAAACTTCTACCAGACTACATGGTGCAACATCCCAGAAGACAAATGTCTTCATACTTTCTGCTGTAGAAACCTTACTTAAATAGTGAGTATCAGAAAGTACATATTACAAGCAGACAAAATCTTCCTGTCATCTTTCATACACAAAGTAAATAAAGATCAATACAAACATTTTAAAATTAAATTTAAAACAATGCATATAAGAAATGTTTTCAGTTTGTAAGTATGTAAAAACTTTTATTTTACTTTTAAAAGACTTCTCATCTTAGAGAAATACACAGATACACATCTGGACAGGAGAAATAAAACATTTTACTCTATTCTTAATGTTACAAACCTTCTCTTCAAGCTTTTAAATCTTACAAAGTCAAAATTATTTTTTTCATTTAGTTGTACAAGTTCTATACACTTTCAGTGGTATCTTTTATGGTATGTATGTGAGGACTACAAAATATTTTCTCTCTTTCCTAAGTAGGTGTCAATTTAAGGTCATAATCCTACAGTACTACTCACTGGACAGTCAACTAATAGGTCATACATAATACATTAATAATACAATTAAACTAAAAATAATCAGTAAATATTATATAAAAGATAGTGAACTATTTTGCTGCTAATATTAATAATAGTAAACAGTATAGGTTGCAGGAAGGGTATTATTCATTTCTCTTTGAGGCTTTGGCAGTATGTAGTTCAGTCTTCCTATGTTGCATCCACAGTTTATAAACAAAACTCCAGGTTGAAAAATTACTACTACCTGATAAGCAACCTGACTAGTGGTATCACCATTTGTGGCAAGACACAAAGTAACACTATAGTCATTAAAAATTTACTGTAAGGAAAGTATCAAAATTGTGGAGATTTAATATATCAGATATGGGCATTAAATTCCACTATTATGCTGCCGTGTTTGTTAACTGAAATAAATCAACATTTAATATTTGCAGGCACAGATTTTGTTTGGTCATACTTTCCACATACTCCATACCAAAAGCATTATTTTCTGGACTCAAATTATTCCATATCTTGCATTCAGACGGCAGACCTTGTGCAATTCTGATCACTTTCTGATAGTTTTAAAGTCTATCCAGTGTATTCTTCTCTGCACATACAATATAAATAAACTATTTTGTTGATTTAATATTCGATTAGGTCACTCTCCTGTATTTACATGTTTCCTCTATACATTATTAAAATTTTCTGTACACTGAAACCTTCTACATACCTGCTCTATATTATTTCCCTGTAGTTTCAAAAGTTTGTGAAAATGATTATGTACTACTACGAGAATACATTTCTAGGAGGAAGGTATAGGCATTGTCTTGTATGGATTAGAAAACGTAGAAGTTGGTTTCTCTCCATTTTCAGGTTAAATTTTATCAAACATGCATTGCTACTGCCATTCAATCCAGCACGCTTTGCATCACAGTAGCATACCACTTAACATGAAATCCTGTAGTTAATTCAGAGGTTTAAATTCCCTATACCCACACAGTACAAGTTAAACAAATTTCATATTTATAGAAAACTTTACTTATAAATGTTATCAATTTTAACCTCACAATATATTTTTAACTTGACTAAGTACCATGCATGCAGACATGCAGGAGAGGAGATATAGCTCCATGTATTCTTAACATTTGCATTAGATGGAGGTAAGCATACACTTTAAACACTAAAGCCTTTTACTGGCAAATCTTGTTACATAGAACAGTACTCAGGACCAAATTACATGCTTCACCTATCACTAATTTGTGGATAGAAGGAAAACACATATATATTTTGTTAGCCAAAAACATTACCTGAGACAGAAAGCTAGAAAGTGTTGCTGCTGGGAAATAATGTTTATATTCTGGACAGTGTATGCCTTCTTACCTGCTACCCCCTCCCACTCCAATGATTCACTTTTTCTTATCTAATGGATGTGGAACACACAATTTTGTCCCAACTACTGTACACATTTGGATTCCAGCCAAAGTAGAAATGCTCTTGAGTTTGAAAAAAATTATAAAATGAGTATAGAATGTGACAAACTGAAAGACTCAGATACTGTTTTTCCATAAATAACTAATTATTAATCACAGATATGTAAGAATATGATGAGTATTTTAACTCTTTAGCAGTCATGAATTTCCTTCTAGCTTTTCCAATACTGTTTCTCATATATTGTGGCATAGTTAGCAATTTCTTATAAAACCCTGTTCTGTTGCTACAAATCAAAGACTGTCACATCTACTGATCAAATGTTGGAATACACAGTAGTCCAAATGTCTTCTAAATAATTACTGTGTACTATGTTAATAAACCTGCTTTGGTGGTGTAAAAGGGCTAATACTGGCCTGTATTAAATTGCACATCAAATTTTCTTAGTTACTTGAAGAATGATTTCATTACAATTATATGAATATTACTAGAATCATTCATTTCCACTTTGTGATGTGCTTAACAAGTCTTTAAGTTCTCAGTATTACACATTTTATTAACTCTTTCGCTGTATTTTTGCTGGTACAAAATGCCGTGTCTATACAAATAAATCTGAAAATCTTTGTAATTTTTTTTTACTACTTACCATCCTTACATACACCCAAAGAGTTATAATTGGGAAATAGAGTTTGCTAATGTCTTCTATAATCTGTTTGTTTAAAAGAAGTGGTAGTCACTAATTAACATGAAAATGCTACCTAAGTTGGTGCAACCTGAGAAACAAAACTAAATCCTATGGCATCTTACAGGAACAATTACATTTAACAGAGGTATGTTTCTACATGGTGCATGTGAGATTTGCAAAACTGCGAAGTTTGAACTTACAATAATCCAAGTTCCGCAGAACTGGCTGCTAGCATGCCTCACAGTTTTATGAACTATGCAGCGAAAGAGTTAACCTGAAATGGCCCAGCAGACATAATTTAATGTTTTGCCTAATTTTATACATCCATTTCCAGAACTTCACTGACAAAGTCTAAAAATCTACAAGTTTCAATCTTTATAATCTTGTTTTTCAGTTCTGAACATGTGATCTGAAGTTATTTATTTCAGCTGGTTTTCAAATAGTATTTCCATACAACTAGTCACTAATGATATGTAATAATAATGAGGATGTCATGACCTGGACCTGGCAAGTACCATATATGTGCCTTGTCACAGTGGTGATTAAATAGTGTTTTTAATTGCTTTTCATGACATCTATGTCTTCTAAGATATCTTAATTTATTTATTAAAATATACATGTTTAAAGCTTATACAATAATTGTGTAAGCTTACTAATTTCTTTAGTAAGAATAACAATTATTTTTATTCTTATTAAAAATTAGCTTGTATTAACATTCTTGATACATATGCTGTTGTCTGTATAGACACTTGACTTTAGATACAATTTAGCCATTGGACAGATTAATTCAACATGCAAGAAAAAAAAGGAAAAATATATGTAGATGGTATGCTCCTTTGAAACATAGGTAACCACCTTCAACACTGCACAGCATCATAATGCAGAAGCCCACAATCCACATTTTCACTGCCATGGAAACCATAAATCTCATATGATATTCAATGTGTCTTTATTCAAACCATTAAGGCAAACTTTAAGAATTTATCTCCAAATCAACCCAACAAATCATGGCAGAATTTATTAAAATTTTGTATTGTCTTTATACATATATTCTAATGTATAGATTGCACTTCTTGTTAACTCAAAATTTTCAGTTTTAAAATGCAATGCAGAATAACACCATACTATGGCTTGATGGATGGCCCACTATTTCATATGATTAATGCAAAGACAATAAACAGTTGCAGGAATTGGCAGGTCCAATTAAAAGGAGTTTAACAAAATTATGTAAAAAAGACATTTCTTCTCATAAAATGTATACATGTGCAACCTATTTGCAGAATTATGTCTAAAAGACATAATGATATGGCATGATATTAAATGTTTACAAAATAATTATATAACAAAGGTTTTCATAAAAAAAAGGCAAAGCATAACACAAACATGTCATGAACAGCTTGTTCCATCAGGAATATAGATCCTGTGTTACAGAGCTCACATATGAAGACAAGAACATGTCTTTTAACTTCAGGTTTTCTGAATTTTGGACTTTATATTGATGAATTGAATGTGTTGGTGTTTATAAGTAGAGCTCTGCTTTTTTTAATGCCATATATATTTTCAGGATGTCAAACATGAACCTTGTTGCTCTGTTTAAACTTTTATCAGCAGAAGCAATCACTTTAATCTCAAAAGATGTTTTGACTCTATTAATTTTACCCATACAAACACAACAGCTACCTGACATAATTTCAGGTCCAAAATGAAAAGTGAAGGTGATTTCTTGTCAAATTTAAACTGTAACACAGGCCATTATCATGTAATATGAAGAAAGGGTGGGAATTTTAAAAAGAAGAGATCTATAACCTCATGAAACCACCTCAAAATATTAACAGCAATTTAAAAGTACCACGCAAGGGCAATATCTAAACATAAATAGGTAATAAAACAATTAAGGTACGATGACATCTTGATAACATTCATTATGATAATAAAAAAGTTTGCTTCGCTCATTATTCCATAAAATTTGCCATCACAGAACATTACTATATTTTATTTGTACTAAAAAGCAGTGGTACAATATATGAATACCTAGGTAGCTATAAAGAACTCAAATAATGTACAAAAGATATAATTTGATAATCATAAAATCACTAGTTTACATTTCTGTTCTGATTAGTATGTGATACAGTGTTCAGAGAACAGTGAAGTATGATAAAGTTTCAGTTATGATCAGAAAGTCACATGGTTGGCACATGAATAACAGCAGTGAACTTAATTGCTATGAATGTTGCATAAAATATTATTTTATCTAGAAATGATCCACAAAGGTGAATATCTGCTTCCATTCGGAACAATCTGTTTATAAGTCTAAAACATATTTTCCAAAAAATGCTTCCTGATTTACTTACTTTCAAATATAAAAGACAATGCCTTATAAACTTTCCCATTCATATGAATAGCCTCAGTTCAGAACATGGCACACAATATTACATAAAAGAAATATGCTTTGTACACCTCCATACTGCCAAATTACTCCAATTTTCTTGAATTATACTCAGTTTCACACATATGAGAAAATTAAAGATGCATTCTTTAATAACATATATTGAAACCTCATTTATCCTTCTCACATACAACACTATTCATGCATGTTCATAACTTATATACTCACATCATAAAGAGAGCAATTTACCACAGCTTTCTAAGGGATGTGTGATCACAGAAAATCGTGTTTAAGCTGAATTTGTTTCCAACACTCCTGTTATTAATATTTATGTAGAGGTTCACACACTTGGCAGTATCAGCTTGACATGGCCAGAGAAATATGTGATGATTAATATAAAATGTATTTTTTCACCCACACAAATCTTGCTACATTTCCCATCTTCATGTAAACACTTTTCCTTTCATTACAAATTCCAGACTCTCTTGAGCCAGGCACTTCCTTTCCTAGTAATATTTTACTCCTGCAAGTTGATAAAAACTTATCCACAGAGTAATGAGTTCTTGTATACAGATAACAGTGACAGGGGAAGCCCTAGCTTCAGTTTTCAATATGTAAAATGGCACAAACCTTGATTTATCAATGTTTACATTTCACTGTAAATCATTACTGGAAAACTTGGATGTATCCACATTTTCAAACACAATTACACTTTCACTATATTTATTGTAGCTGTTTTATATTATCTAATAGTTGAAACAAATGGAGGAAAGCTAAGCAACAGCTAGCAAGAATATGTGAAAACCAAAGTTGTTATGAGGTATGTTTTAATTAAAATAATGTAACATTCATGTTAATAACCATAAATTACTAATATCACTCATACTCAGTTTCTGTCATTAAACAACAAGTGAAGTATTGGGGGGGGGGGGGGGATAGGTAGTGATACAAAATGAGATGGAAGACTGAAAGAACCAATGAGCGATAGGTTTCTATCCCAAATAAAATTGTAGTGGAGGATATGTATGCTGCACTGAGACACAATATCTAACATACATCCGTCAGTATATATAAATATGTATCTTTAAGGTGTGTAAATCTACAATCATATGCAACAGAACACAACAGATAAAGCAGAAAATTTAGAGGGAGATAAACAATAAAATGGGAACTGAGAAGACAGAATCACAGGATGCCATCAGAAAATTCAGCACTGAGGTGTATAACACAGTGATTTTAAATTTATGTTTCTAGTCATAACTTTGACTAAAAAAAATGCCTTTACTAGCACACATCTAGAAACATGCACGCAGAGAGAGACAATATGGTCACTTTAGCTTATATCATTTACTTTAAATCAAAAACTAATTTACCACAGTTGAAAGTAGAAAGAAACAGGTTATTTAATATTGTGAGTGAATTATTTAGTTTAACAGCAATAAAGGAGAGGATCAGTACATATTTCAAGAAACATTTTTATTAATTCCTTCAACAATATATCTGGCTACTTGCAAATCGATAAAATCAAATCAAATTTGCTAAAATAGCAGCTGCTGTCTTTCAGGATAAATTATACCTATCCACAGATGGTACATAGGTGGGCAATAAATTAAAGCACTCAGAACTAAGAAATTCAGGAAGAAAGTAGCACAAGTTTAACAATGCATCAGCTGTAAATTATGTGTAATACCATGAGTGTTCTGGTGTGTAAAGTAAAAAGTAAAAGTAAAGCTGTCCCACTATATGCCATGTAGGTGCTTGAGTGAGGGGGGTGGGGGTGGAGCTCCTACTCATTCTTAAACTCGGCTGTAGATAGGGGTGAGTAGTTGGTGTCATGCCCCAGCCACACTTTACCCCTGGGAAAGGACCCTGGTGCCCATTGCATAGGAGGCTGGGTGGCCCCAGAGCCGGTCTGGACACAGAGGCTAGAGGAAAAATCCTCTGCCCCTATTGGGGATCAAACCTTGGCCGTCCAGTCTGTAGTCAGCCACTATACTCACTGAGCTACCCGGCTCACTGTGGTATGCAAAGACTGAATCTAACATAGTAAAAATAAGCTTGAAATAAAATGTCACAAGTAGGCAGTATGCTCCATCCTGTGGTAGACACCAAACAATAATTCTTATAAACATGGAAACATTCAGCTATAGACAGTTTAGAATACTCAGAATTATCTCAAATCTGTCAAGAAATTCAGTGCCACCACAGAAATGGCACAGCAACACTAAAACTCAGACTACCACAAAATCAAGTACTGAATTTCTGCCTTTACAACATTTTACAAAATGCCAACACCAACAATGGCTAAAATAAGAAAGGAAAACAAATTCCTTAACTTGTATCAGAATTCCTATATGATTTCAGTGGTGCTGGCAGATTCATTGCAACTCACAGTAGCCTGCTACATTTGGAGGCAAGTGGGGGGTAGGGGCAAAATGGAAATGGGGCAGAAAACAGAAACAAAGAAGAGTTTTTTAGTGCAGTATCTGAATAAAACAGTCTGTATCTTAAGACCGTAGAGCAAACTTTCTCATTTTATGACTAAAGAATAAGACTAAGGAATATTTCATACAGCTGCCCTTTACATGCCTGAGTAGGCAGTTTGAATTAAAATGCTGAAACACACGTTTCAATGAAGAGATGAGGACATCAGCTGTTCCTACAATGTTAATCTTTGTACATTATAACAAGAAGATTAAGAGACACACCATTCATTTGCCTCCATACATGCACAGGTAGCTACTATCTGTTTTTTTGTGGTTTTCGTCAGTCCCTCCAGGCAAATGCCAGTATAGTACCTTAAAGTAGGCCATGACTGCTTCCTTCCACATCCTTTCCAGTTCATTATTCACAGCCATCCTCTCATTTGACGCTATATAGTCTGAGTTACTGAGAAAGCGTCGATAAATACACTATAAATAAGAAAATTAAAAGAATATGAGGCTATGCCTCAGTCAAAGGACTGCTGTATCTTGTACAGTTTTGTATGGCCTCTCAGAACTCCATTTTAACAGACTTGATCTTTTTGTGAGCAGATGTTTCAAACCATTACGATCAGTTTTAATCTACACTCTTCAACAATAATTTGTCAAAATTGTAGGATTTGAGGTTTTCACGGCGATGAGTCTGAAGACAGCAATCTTCAACTCGTAAAAATTCTTTATAAGAAACATAATAAAAACAAACGGCAATTCCTTTGCTACAGACCTCAAACATTCACCAATACCACTATTTATGCACCAGTGGTAATCAAGGAAATCACAAATGACTGCAATTATGATGTCAGCTGTACACTCATATCACTTCAAGCTTTGAACTCTGAACATGATACTACAAACTGGTGAATACTTGCTGTGACATGTCCACAGGAATAAATTCAATCTCCTGACAAATGTTTTCTTTCAAGTCATTAACGGTGTGAGGGTTGTTCATGTAGAATTTCCTTCTAGTAGGTCACACAGAAGAAAATATGGCAGGATTAATTCTAGCAACCTTGTTTCTGGCAGGTCTTCTGAGACAACCAGATCTCCAAAAATATAAGGAGCGTCACATCCAGCAGTGCACAGACACCAGGCGCAACTACTTTCAGCACCATATGTGATGGAATAAAGCTTCACAAAGACTGAGGAATGTAGTGCAATTTGATCACCACTGGTGCATACCAAGTAATTTTACTGGGGCCTCTAGTGACAGAATCAAACTCTGCAAAAATAAAATAGGTGTTGATCTAGCATTTATACACAAATATGCTGCCAAAGAGAGCAAGATCACCATTTTGATGACAGAAAATATAAAACTAACATTGTGCACATATATTTAAATATAATAACTATTGTGTGTGTGTATATATATGTACACACACACTGTAGTTATTATATTACTTGCTAGCTGTTAGGACTATTCTCCTTTAAAATATACTACAGTCTGTGCTGCCAGTCTCCATAATCACTTAAAACGCTACTGATTGTTTGTCATTCTGTTATGTAGCATATCCATATTTGGATCTGCATGGTGAATAGGTGGGATATAATACCCCATGCTTCCCATGGGCAACCCTCCTGGCACATACGATGGCACATGATACGAACCCATTAATGGGTTAGTAGGCTGTGTGGTTCTATCCACTGAGTCTTGGCTATCCTGTTGATGTCCTGTATGGAAAACATTGCTGATTGATGCCATCTTAGCCCCTGTATGACTTCCACTATGAAACATGTTCCCCATCTTTCCACTGCTGTTATTGATATGTGTGTTATAGATGTTCACAGCTGCCATTTTGGCAACAGCTGAACTTATGTTTCCATGGTTCTGGTTGTACACAGGAATTGTGTTTTGTGTTGTCATATTACTGATTGTACTGCTGTTGCTGTTCTCGCCTACACTGTGATTACTCAGGTTGTACACATTGCCAACAAGTGAGCCTGCAGAGACTGAACTTGAAGTCGGAGTTGTTGAACCCATCTTGCTTGAATTAACAACTGCAATCCCTGTACCAGCTCCTATGTTATTTCCCTGCATTAGAAATACATTATAATATCAGCTGAAAATTTTGCATTAGAACATGTTAATGGACTTAAATCTACACATTACAATGGAAAGAAATGAAAAGATAACAGCTCATATGAAGAGTGGAACTTCTTTCACATTTCTCAGAAATACCTTGTCACATTTTGATAATATCTTACAAAGAATTCGTCTGACACAATGTGTCCTCATGAAAAGTTATGGGTAACTAACTGAACTAAGTACATGAAAAACAGTCCTTCTTGAGAAGTTAATAAACATTCGCCTACTCAAAATACTATACAATTTTCTGTAAGATTGTGCATATTTTATAATAATGTAATGAAGTGGCAGTATTTACTTCCTGCCCTTCCACAAAAGTGTGCAAGAACAGAAAGCAAGCACTGCATTACAATATATCACTAAATGCTAACAACGCCCCATACCTGGTATGAGCGATTTGAGCTCCTAACAGTGTTTATATTATTAGGGTCATTGTCATTCCGATGGCGCCGTTTCATATGCTTATTGTAGTTGGCCCAATTTGTAAATTCTCTTCGACATTCAGCACAGCTATAGGGACGTTCACCAGTGTGCTGTCTACGGTGAACCTAATACAGAAAAGATAAAAGTAATTAGTAATAGGTATGTTTCCCTCATTATGAACATGACAGTGAAAGTGTAGCTTCATTTCATATTAACACAAATCCATATTCATGAAATCCCAGTTAATTCATTCAAGTTATTCAGGAGTTAAACATGGTAACACAAGAAACAAACTGTCTAATTGAATCTATATCATTACTGATTTATCTTCACCGTTATATCACTGCTAGATGCCAAATTTCATGCCTCCACTATTAAATACTTTTCCAGAAAAAAAGTCCATACAGATTTCACAGTTCCCTTCAGACTTACACCTCCTATATCACAAATAAAGTATGATACACTGTAAAGTTTGCTTGGATCATCAGCTAATGCTAATGTTAAACCTTCAAAGCTAAAACTCATCTAAATAGCATTTAAACATTCAGTACATACCTCAAACAAACATAACACTTCTCCATTACAAAGACCAAATGGTTAATGCTGTTCAACGACATAACCAATGTTTATGCTGAGAATCATAGTAAAACCCTATATACACTACGTGGGCATAATGCAGGATTATTGATTATTAGTGGATAGAACATACAGTTACCACTAGGCTTTAAAAGTGTTAAAAATAGTTACTATTTCCATAGATTTTTATAATAGAAGTTTCTTAAATATTATATCACTGAAAAATAATGCCATATTCTACAAGGTATATTTAATTATGTAATCAATTAAAACATTATTTTTAAATGTCAAAAAAATCTCAGTATTTACAAATCATTCTCAACAGAGTTAAATGTATGCAATGTTTGTAATTCAGCAAATATCCAAGAAATACACATTCAGCTACGCATGCCTGATGTAACAGTTGCAATGGACAGATGTTCCACCACATGTTCTTACACAACAACCCTTTGTTTAACCTGTTTATTAAACACAGAGTCCTTTTAAACTTATTAGTGGTTGATGATTTCCTATTATGTTTTATCCAGAAGACTCTTACTCGAAAGCAACATAGTTATTAAATAAAAACATTAATTGATCGATCAGATAATAACAAACACCCTACATTCCTTCCAGTTGATAAGTGTACAATTTAGGCACAGATTTAAAAGTTTTAGTTTTACACTATAGAGTGCAAAATACTTACTGTAAGGATACCCTTGAACCTAAAGTTCTTGCCACAAAACTCACAAGTGTATGGCATGGCACCAGTATGAATACGATTGTGCTCTCTGAGAGCACCACGTTCTCGGAACTGTTTCCCACATACATCACACTGATGTGGTTTAATTCCTGTATGAAGTGTTGCATGTTTGCCAAGTAATCGGGCTGTCTTGAACCTGAAACAGAATTAATAAAAAAAAATTGTTTCCTAACAGCTCCAACTTCTGGGAAGACATTTATATGACTTCTTGCTCTCTCAACATATAAATAAAAGTTTAAAGCAGTCCAACAGTAAAATTCATAAAACTGAAGCACTTCCCAGTTAAAAAAAACTGAAACATAAATATTTTAAGAGAGTTTACTCACCCCTTACCACAAACTGGACAGTGATGGGGTTTTTCCCCAGAATGTGTAAGGATATGATAGTCAAGACTACCTTTCGCAATAAAACTCTTTCCACACACATCACAAATAAAGTTCCGTTCTCCTGTGTGTATCTTCCGATGAGTCTCTAACGTATGTTTTGTAGCAAAGCTGTGAACAAATTAATGCCAGAATTACAATATTGTTTTCCTTATGACTTAAGATGAGAGTTACTAACCTATGAAATGTGTAAGAAACAGCAAAATTTCCTGTCCATATTTTGCATGGAAATAAGGAACATACAGCACATTCTGTTAACCACTTGCATCCTGTAGGCACCATAAAAGTTCATGATATTTTACAACTCTGATTTGTTAGGCTATTACATGTAGTGTTAGCCTTATATTGCATTACATGCCAATTCAATCAAGATACAATCAATTTTCACAGCCTTTCATCCTCTCCTATCTTAACCAGTAAGGTTCTTATAATGCAATGTTATATGAGAGCACAACTTGTATTTTAATATCTGTAAAATAACTATGACAGACGCCTACTGAAAACAAAATGAAACTAAGAACACAAAGCTGGATCATAAAATTCTGAGACTGATTTTATTTAACATTAATAACACACACAATATGAAAAATATACCATAGGGGCTGTTGTAACCGATACCGATATCATCACAGCTAGAAGAAAGTCTGTGCTTTGTGTACACGTGTTCATAGCATTTACTTATTTATAGTGTATTGAATAATGCCTTCTCAGTAGCTCAAACTATATAGCATCAAATGTGTTCACAGTGATTGGCACACTGCATAATGGCTCACACTACAGAACAATGTGTGTGTATCAAGTTTAACATAAAAAAAACAGATTAAAATATGTGTTCATATATCCAATGATGAAATGATGCATTCATATATTAATTCATCAGGTATGTGCTGGCTAATATACACACAACAGAAGTATTTTTCATTACTCACTCCTTATGGCAAATGTCGCAGGGGAACTTGGGCTTCACTTGGTCAGGAAGGTGACACTTGCTGTGTAGGTAAAGTGAACTAAATTGTTTGAATGCTTTCCCACATTGTGGGCATACATGAGGGCGAGCATCAGTGTGAACAGTACTGTGAGACTGCAGAACTGTCTTTTGGGAAAAACATTTCCCACATTCTTCACACCTGAAATGGTAATCACTTTAATTAAAATTTTAAATTACAAAATATTTTACTTGATAACAATGTCAGTTAAAAACTAAACTTGGATAAAAGAGTAGGAACAAATGTAACCGTTGTTCAAATGTGTGCATGAGTCAACTTTAACACGTGGAGACACATGTTAAAGTGCACCACACCGGTTTATAATTCTGTTCCACTGTTTCATCATCAGATTCTCTCGAGAAAGCCTTGTTCATGTTAAACAATGTACTTCTAACAAAATTAAATAAATGTTCTTTTAAAGTTATCTGTGAATACATGACTAACATCGCTTATCACTATTTTGCAGTATAAAATAAGGAAATAAATAGTGCAGCAAAAACAGTCTTAGATTAAACTTGATTACATTAAAACATCTAAACATATAAATAAAAATAATACTTATACAAACACATGACACTTTGACTAACATTTAAATGTTATAAGCAGTACTTTTTAGTAGAAAAATTGTGGTAGCACTTTGAGATAATGTCCAACAATTATACAGTATTTTGATGATCTTTCTTACATTTTGAAGTAAAGGTGCTAGTACTACATGTTGGTGCATACTGCCACAAAAGCACTGTATATAATAGGAAGAAAGCCCATTTAAACAATACACACATATTCATATGGTTATGGTAAGTTTGCGTATTATGAAAACCAACATAGCAGTGCATTCACCAACATTATACATCAACTTTCTTTGCCACAGTACTCCAGAATTTAAAAATAAATAATGGAGAGGATTAGTAACATTCAGTTGCACTTCCACTGTTGTGCCTGTAACTTGTACAGTCACAGGCATGTGTCACACAGTACCAGTTACTAAATTGCTAAAATCAATGGTTTTTTGTTTCTTTATTTATTTAATGACACCATATCAACTGCATTAATTACACAGCACAATATGCCAGTTGTTATGGATGTATTCTGAAAGGATACTGGGGCAAACATGTCATATTTTAGGGTGCTTCACCAGTACCTCACTGGTGGGAACAACAAAACCCACAATCAGGATAACTGAAGAACCAAGATTTGATCCAGGTTACATAGTGCAAGTTGGAGGTTATTTAGTATAAAATGAGATACAGGGACAGAAATAAATGGTCATCATCCAAAAGTTCCTATCAAGATAACTGCTGCAGATACCATGAAAAGGGATTCTCTAAAGTTTTGTGATTAATAACATGTATGGCATTGTCCACTGTCTGAGGTACATTTGATATACATAACATTTTGGGAGTTGACTCTATTCTTGTCTTCATATGACCAGTTTGTCATTATACAGATTAATTACCACTTTCTTTATTTTTCTATTAATGGAAATGGATGGAATTAAACCGAGAACTATTTGGATTGTTGTTACTGGTATTGTTGCAGTGGGGCAAGACAATGTCCCAATAAAAATGTGGTTGCTAATAAGCCCATTATCTGTTCCCCAGATGATGCATGGATACATATGGAGCAACATTGGAATGACAGTGGCAGAAAAAATTAAAGAACTTAGAGAAAAACATGTCCCAGTGCCACCCTGTCCATCACAAATAACATTGGACTGACCTGGCCACAGACCCAAGCCACCATGGCAAGAAGCTGGTCACCAACCACTCCAGCTGTGGTATATGACCTGACCATTTGGATATTAGGCTAGTATGTTAACCACTTTACCACTGCTATGGCACAAGATTGTTACTATAGCTCTAGTTAAGAGATGGAAGTAACCACAACATGTAACATAAGTAGAGTTATAATAACAACTATTCCTGGGATATTCTAGTGGTCTAGCAGTTAGCTTACTAGCTTAGTTTTCAAAATGTTCTGTGTTTGATCCCAATTACTGCCACTAAGATCATAATAAAAAAGAACAAATCTGTCAGTGTAATGAACAACCACCAACTGAAAACAGCAAATCAACATCCTGACCCACCCTGTGTATCAAATACATCAACAATGGTCAACTTAATATCCAGGTTACAAAAAGAAGCTGAGCTTCAAACTGAGAATCAAACCACAAACCTTCCAAATGTAATTTAGTGACATGTTACTTCAGAGTAAAACCTGCAGTCTGATTCATAAAAAACATGTATACACAATGACCAGAAAGCAATAGGACAAAAAATGTACCTTCATAAAGTGTATCATAATTACAATGAATATTATCATAACACAAATACAATCTTACAGTCAGAGAGGGTAACCACAGTCCTGCTTCAGGAATACAGAGGTGAACACTAAGAGTAAACAAACAAAAAATAATTTTGTATGCTATACAACAAACTAATGGGCCCATAATCCTTTCTTAAAAGATGATGGTTGTTCAGATGGTAAATAAATTCCACACCTTTCATAAAACCAGAAGATTCATTACCACATCAAAAATAACCAGTCACGAGACCCTATCTCAAGTCAGATGAATCCAGAACATTATCACATCCTAACTCTTTAAAGTCCACATTCATATTGTTCTTCCATCTACACCTGCTCTCTTCCCTGCAGGTGTTTTGACTGAAATTCTGTAAATATTTCCTATATGCATATGCATGCTACATGTCTCACTCATATTATCCTCCTTAATTTGATAACAGTAATAATATATGATCAGCAATACAAATTATTAAGTTCCATATTATATAATTTACTTGATCTTCCTGTTACATCATCTCTCCGAGGTTCACATATTCTCCTCAGCAATCTATTCTCAATCACCCTTTATCTGTATGCTAGGCTGCTACTTTATGCAAAACATGTTGCACCTAAATGAACGTGGGGAAATTAAAAGAACATTTGTGAGGGGCAGAGGAAACTTTGAAAAAATCAGAAGAGGAAATAATGTGAATAGCAGCAATACACTGACAGTTATTTCTGTCTTGTATGACACACTACCACTTTACTATTCTTGCCCACACATAAAGATAATAAAGTATGAAGTTCCAGTACTAAAACCTGTGCTCCAGAAACTGTTCAACATGTCAATAGGTTTCTGCACCAAACCCATATAAAGCCAAAATACACCATAAGATCAGCACAATTTTTATGAACAGACTGTTCAATATCAGGAACAATGTGTTTTTCTTTGTCACTACATTGTAGAAAGGCACTGTTCCCACACAGAAATAAAACTGTAGCCTGCTTACATTTGCACCTGGACTTAAACCTAGTTGTACACCACCCATACCAATGAATGGATGAAATTCTGTTCCCAGACTCACTTAACATCAGTGACTTGGTAAAAAAACATTGTATTTTGATATTATAGTGCCCAACTCTTAATAGCACATTCATTTATCCACTTAAATGATTCAGTAATGTACACTAAATTTTGTATTTTCTTGTCATGACAATAACCACACATTTGACATTGCTATGCTAAACCCAAGACATTCATGCCTTAAAACAATTTAATTTAAATCAATATTCTAAGACAAAAGTTATGTCGCCAGCAGATTAGACAAGTTAGTTAAACATATAGTTTCGCTACATCACTTAATAGAGCTCACTTTAAGCAAACACATGTGCTTTGTGCACTAATTATCATGACCAAAGCACAAATACACTTACTATCATGAATGGATTAAGAATGAGAGTAGTCTCAAATAATACCTGCCAGCAGCTATTATAAACAGAATAAATGGTATCTACAACTTTTCTTTGGCTTTAAATGAATGAGACAAGAAGTCTGTGCAATGCATTTAGCATAATTTATTTTGGTTTCATAACTCTAATTGTGGCTTGAAATAAATAATAAATATGGTAGAGTTGGCCAATGTATTTACTATTGCTTATTTTACTTTTGTGACTCCAATTACTAAAAGACAATCAGAGACTAAAATTTTCTATAAATTTTGTGAGACTGCCAAAGATTCTAGAAGCAAGCATAAAGTAATTTTAAAACTTGTTAAATGTACAATTTAGAGCACATTTTACTCACCAGTGAGAAATATTAAGATGTCTGGCTGAATATGCCCGGGATATTTCCAGGCCTAAACTGCCATATTTATCAAGTTTCTGTAAGTAAAAGTTTCAGTAGAAATTACATAATAAAACTATTCTTTCTAACAAATTTCTTCATCAAATTTAAATGTTTCTAATTGTATGGAGTCATCTGACAGAGTCATCCTATAGTCATGTAAATATATTTCATACATAAAATGCCATGTAACAAATGTGCAAAACTATAGATCCTACAACATAATTAATTTATTTACATAGAACATATGTAACACATACAATTTACAAACATTCAGGGGTAGAGTATTTGTGTTAACCATGTTAAATGGGCTAACACAGTTGATATGAATTATTATCCTTATTTTAACACAGTAAAATACAAACAAAACCAATTATGAATTAAAAAAAATTCTACAGGTTTAAAAAATTCTTCATTCCTTATTCACTTCAATTTGTAACCATATTATATATCACTTTCAAAAGAAAAATCCAATAATGAACATTTCAACTGAATACAAAAAAAAACAAAAACAACTGAATTCACTCATTGCATATTATAATAAATTCTATGAAATTCAAAGTTTTCTATATAAAAATGAAATTAATTTTCAAATTTCCTCATTGTACACAACCTTCACAATGAATAATATTGTCCTTTACTACTCCACACATTAAACTTGGAACACAATGCTTTAAATGCCAGTGCTAGAATATGGCTAGAGTATTAAATTACTTTCAACCAGTGCAGAGTGCACAGTATCAAAAAATATACTGTAATTACCAAATCTGCAAAGCTAAAACTATAATTAAAAACGAAGTTACTACAAAGTGATTAATTTGCCTGTACATAAAGTACTGAAATATTCAGGTTTTATACAAACAATTAATTTTATGTTGTTTCTGCATATTTAGAGTACATCTACATTTTTCAAACCATTAATGTTTGAAATAAGACAATTATTTATTTCTATTTGGTCAGTAATTATTGCACACATTTTTCATCAATATACATGCCACTTCCTAAAACTGAACCACATGTTTTGAAGTTGACTATATAACAGCCTCAGAGCAAAGAGCCAACAAGTAAAAATGGGGCTGAAGAAATATGATAAAAGTAAAAAAGTACAGCTGTTCCACTATACGCCATGTAGGTGCTTGGAGGGAGAAACATATAGCTCCTATTCATTCTTAACCTCTACACTAGATGGGAGTGAGTGGTCAGTGTCATGCCCTGGTCATACTTTACCCCCAGGAAAGGACCCCGGTACCCACTGGATAGGAGGCTGGGTGGGCCCCAGAGCCAGTATGGACGCAGAGGCTAGAGGAAAACTCCTCTGCACCCATCGGGGATCAAACCCCAGTCATCCAGTCCATAGTCAGTCACAATACCCCGGCCCAACATGATACTGAAAATAAATATTGATTTATAACTATTTCCTTTTGTTTGTGACGCTAGAATTTTAATACAGAATGTGCCTATGCCAACTGAAACTGTAAAAATTATTTGCACACAAGTAAGAAGTCACTGTACTGAGTACAAAAATTACATGGTGAGTAATGAAACAATGTACACAGAAGTGAAAAGTGGTAAAATACTGAGGAGACAATGTACTGTACTAAGAATAACTTCACAACAATTACATTTACTTGTATTATAACAAAAATTTATGTGTAAGTTATAAAGTTTCTGAACACATTATTTCTAATTTTTTAATGTTGATATGTGGGAAAGTGAACATCACATCAGTCAGGCTACATGGCCTACATGAAATATGGATCTTCCGTCTTCACAGAAAATGATTTTCAATTTCCTATATAAGTAACACCCAATCAATGAATTCTAATATTATTTCTTTACCTAATTCATATAATCCATACTTAAATTTCTAAACATGGAGAAAGTTTGAAGACAGAATTACAAACTTTCTTACTTATACCAAATTATAAGATGACAGTGACTGTTGACTTATTAACATAGCAATAAAAACTAAATATAAATTATCAGTGCAGTAGTGACTCAATGCCACCATTAATTCCCTGGGTGAAATTATATGCTTCACCATAAGATATACTAAAATACATCACACAAAAATGAAACATGACCACCGGATCAGCTTTGAAGTGAAATTAAAAAAAATAATATAAAAATCAATTAAAATGTAAAATGTACCAGTGACTGCCCTGCATACTTATATATTCATTATTAGATACATCAAATTTGAAAACACTCACAACAGAATTAAATAAGCTCTAAATTATAAAGCACTTTAACTGATAGTATCTAAAACTTACTCAATTTTTATAATGACTTCTATATTTTGTACTGATCAGATCATGAACTCTGGAGATACTCAGAATCATGATCAACGTAAAACATAAAAAGGTAAAGAAATTGCCCTTGGTTTTCTTCAGTAATAAAGAGGCCAGAATGGAACTTTCAAGTACTTCACCTCCCACCTTTCCTGATCATCACATCTCATTCTATTCTATACAAAGTTAGCCATAAATCCAATCACATTATCATATTTTGCATTATACATTTTCAATCTATGTATCACAACAAATATAATAGAGAATTAAAAACAGTGATAATGGCCCCATACCTACATCAGATTTCTGGTGTTTGTGACACTTTAGTTTCTGTACATTTGACCACTAGCAGGAAATTTTCTTTCAGAATGTTGCTGCATCAGAGACCTCGTGGCAAATGACTGTTTTACTTTTGATAACTTAAACAATGTGTCTAAAAACTTCAGAAAGCACAACTAATAATGGCAATGTTCCTCTGCCAAAATAATAATCAAGATAATTACAAATAATTTCTTGTTTCTGCTTTCACATAGATGCCAATCGGCAAGAAATTTTCAGAATGCTACTAAAATTATTTGAAACTCCCAAAGCAAAGCTTTTTTTCAACTACTTGGGTGCTAGGCAACACAGTGCCCACACACAGACTTTATGTTATAGAAACAGATTAACATACAGAACAGCTTCTGTAGGTGTTAGTAGATTACAGAGTAACTTCAAAATAAAGTATTCATTTAACATACACCATTTTAACAGGACAGCAAAATATCATTGCAGTTGAAAAAGTGTCATTAAACAACTTAAGAATCAATCAATCAATCTATACCTTATATCATTATAATGCATAAAATATATGACAGAATCTATTTCGTCTCAAAGTCAAAAAACAATACATAACAGCAAAATTTAATTTCCCCTTTCCTCAAGCACTTCTAGTGTCATTTAGAGTACTTACATAAATATACTTAACTTAAAGTTAAGTTTGTCTCTTACCTGAATTTCTTGGGGTTGCGATGCAGTTTTACATGTCTTGCAAAACTTCTATATCGTGTGTACACTTTAGCACACTGAATACATTTAAAATTAGGAAGCTGGTTATGTTCCATTTGATGATGAGTCCTGAGTTCTTGTAATGTTGATAACACAACGGTGCAGTCAGTACACTGCCAAGGGTATCCCTCAAGGACAGCTTTAGGACGGGGGGGTTTAATAATCATAGGTTTGGGTTCTCGTTCCTTTTTCTTCCTACCTGGACGCTTTCGTTCAGATTTAATCATTGTTTCAACAGCTTTTTCCCTTTCCTCTTCTGTCTTATCCTCCACTTTTTTTTCTGTTTCTTTCACTTTTTCCTTTTCTTCTTCCTTCTCTTTGTGTTTTTCTTTCTTTTCACTTTTTACTTTTAGAACACGTTCTTTGCGTTGGGTAGTGTCTTTAATTTGCACTCGTTCTTTTGGAGGTGGTCGTTCTTGTGCGGTTGGACGTTCTTTCGGAGGAGGCCGCTCTTTCGGGGGTTGGCGCTCTTTTGGAGGTGGGCGCTCTTTGAGTATTGTACGTTCCTTCACAGCCAATGTTCGTTTGACAGGAATACGCCGCTTCCGACGAGATGAAGCAGAAATGTCAGTTTCTGAAAGCAATTCAACCATGATTGAATTATGGGAAATTTTATGTGAATAATAACTGTAACACACTGTTGAATATATTATTTGTAAACCAAGGATACCAGCATGAGAGTTGTATTCCCATTATGTATTTCACCAAACTTTATTTCTTTTATCACTGTCTCTTCTTCCTGGAAAATGTCTTGGTGTACCATTTATATTAAAATGATGTATTTATGAGAAGATTGACTTGATATTGATTTCATTAGAGGTGAAACACATCCTTTCAATTTCTTATAAAATATTTAAATTAAAACTATAGACTGAATATATTAGTTGTCTACTCATCTGTGGCAAGTGAGAAACTGGCTGACAAGAAGAAAAACATTCTATATGATGTACATTCACTTCTTTATTTTTATTAATAATATGTACAAAAACATAATATATATTTTCACATTGTAATCATTATCACTCATTAACATTCTGGTTTTCTTATTTTAAATGAACTGTTCTAAACATAGTGCTACACATTTCCCACTAATTATTTATTTTTCTGTATGCCACATCAGAGAGTAAAATCTGTTTCTGACTTTAAATAATCACAAATACAGAAAACCTTTATACTGAGGTCTTCTCAGTTGTAACATATATAATCTTGCAGCAACATATAACACTAACTAACTCCCTGTTAGCAGAAGCTGCAGGTTCAACACTGACAACACCAAAGCCTGCCTAATCCAAGACTTTGCTATTGTTTTCGTAACATGAACAAACTACATTTTTACTTCCATAAAAACCTCAAATTTCATACAGAAAACCTCAGTTACACCATGCTGTGAAAACTGCCTGCTCTGTATTAAAATCTTTGTCAGGTAATATGATAACCTGAATTCTTCCTTAGTTTACATAAATCCACGATGCAAACAAATGCAGGGATTTTCCCTTGATGCATACAAGCATCTTACCACAAGCTGGCTGTATCTTGCTCTGCATTTACAATGTAATTCTAAAAATATGTGAGAGGAAAGTTTTTGGAATAGTAATAGGTGTATACACACACATACAAGCACATATAAGAGTGTACTTACACATACAAAATTAATCTAGTTTCCGCTTGCCGCAGTGGTCTACAAAGAAGTATTCTTACAGCACTAGCAAACACAGCACCTAAGATATCAGATTCAAAGCTCTCCTATTAGATGTATGTTTTATAACTGTTACTTCTTTTAAAAGACCTGAATATTTATCCTAATGCAGCTGAACACAATCTAGTGCCAGTACAGTCAAATGAATACCATCACAGATTATTTCCTATTTCCTTTTCGTATGTATATGTACATACACAGATATAAACACGCATATGCAACTATTTATATTTCCTATCTCCTCTCTGTGCATGCATGCACTCTTTCAGCTTTTTTATGTTGGTCACTACAGCTTGAAGCAATTAAATGAATTATACTGACATTCATATGTAACAACAAAGAGAAAAACTGTCTAAATCATTATTAACTTTTTCAGTACAAATACAGAACAAGAGTTATGACAATAGGAAAGGAAACTACATGCTGTGTTGAATTAGGTGCTTCTGACACTAATTCTGTTGTTAGTAACAAAATAACTTACTCTGAGGAGTGATGTTTGCTTCTTTGTCAGATAACACACACTCTAAAAATTCTGGTGGCTCGGCATCTCCATCATTTGATTCATCCTGCAACATACAACAAAATAATGTATATGGAATTTTTTTAAAAAAAATTGAAATTGAGAAAGTGTTTGCTGTAAAAATTATAACATCAAGAATGAATCACAAAATATATCAATGAATAGAGAACTTTTAATTCCAATTCTCATCAAATATGTATAATTAGATGTGTATTCAGATCTTCTTGAATCTGTGTCAATTAAAAAAAGAACTGTGAAAATTTGTCTTATCACATGACATCACCACACACTAGTGGGACAGCATAAGAATTACAGTGAATCAAAATGTCAGTGTTGTGACAACAAAATACAATTTTTTTCAAAGATGGCAGTTGATAATTTCATCACAAAACTTTGAAGATTATCACAGCAATTCAATATTTAGTCTCACAGGATACTGCACTTGAATATCTCTTGAATTTAATTCTTATTTTTTTTAAAAGTGAAAAAGGCACCCATTCAGATAAGCAGAGGAGAAAACTTTTCCAGCCACATATACAGGTGAGTCAAAAGTATGTTTACAAACTTCGCGTGCATGTTTCAGGATCAAAAATAAGAAAAAAATGTTCCTATGAACATGGGGTCGAAAATGTTTCATTTTTGAAACATTTGCGACCCCATGTTCATAGGAACATTTTTTCTTATTTTTGATCCTGGAACATCCACACGAAGTTTGTAAACATACTCCTGACTCATCCTGTATTGCTTTACAAATACTGGGAGTCTAAAAAGGCCAAGCTTTAAAATATTCCTCTGTCAAAACAATGCAATTGAGAGAAAAACACAACTGATATTTGAGGACTTAATTATGTCATCAATGGAACAAACATCCTTGTTCTGGATTATAAATGAATGTGTGAAAATGAAAAGGGAACATCACAAAAACAAATTTTTGGCAAATTACAAAAAAAAATGTTTATAATGTTTCAGAGAGTTAGAAAATTGAGGAACAATGTTTATCTTGCTCCAGTTAGGACTGATATGTTTAAATTATGTTACAGTGGTTTCTTTATCCGTTAATAGTTTAAATGACAAATTTTTTTCTTACATGTGTCGTTTTCACACTTTTGTAAAAGTAAGTAGTTGAGAGAGAAGAAAAGTCCCCAATTATTTAAGATCATTTCATATTGTTTATAAAAATTAGTATAAATTAATTTTTAGTTTACATTTTACATTACTGTCTTCATTTTTCTCAGTATTTTACTCATCCTCATCCTCTATGCTGGTAATTTCCATACTAAATTAAAATATCTTTGTGACTGATCAGTATACTTCATCACTTGTTTCTATTACTCATATTTTTGATGTCTACTGGACATATGCCATTATGGAAGGCTTTTTCATTTGGTATAATTGGGTATTTTATTTTTATATTTATATTTATAAGCCTAAAGTTATGAAGCCATCTGTGAAATCTGTGCTGATGACTTCACCTGTCTTTAAGAGACGTATACAGATGCACATGCACTAAATAAAAAGTTAAATTTCTGGGCAGGTACAAATTTACCATAGGTGAAGCACTGACATGGTTTTGCTTTTGCAATCTTTTGCTTACTACCATTTATACTCTGTGCCAAGCTGTCATTGCACATGGACACTGAAAAATTTCCCTTTCTGCTTCAAGCACCAAGGACATGCAACATGTAATAGTGTTTTTTGGTATCTGGAGGAATGAGAATGGCAGAGATCCATGGACAACTGGCTGCCAAGAATGGACAGAACCGTTTCCCATAATGAAGTATCTATGAATAGATCAAAATGTTTACAAGAAGCCAAACCAGTGTTACTCATGCAGACAGGTTAAGAACACCCATCCACATCAACAAATTAACAAAACAAAGCGCAAGTTCAAGCAATGATTCTTGGAAACTGTAGGGTAACTAATGCAGAAGTTGCTGCAAGACTGGGCATTAATCTTCCTTGTCCTTGACAAAAATCTCTAGTGTAACAACCATCTTTGTGCCACACTGACTTGGCACAAATGTACAACTGAACCACACTAGCAGCATGACCCTGAGCAGATCTCATCAGTGTTGCCAATCATATAACGAAAATTTTACAATACAGATCAAGCTTTTTAAATTCTCATCATATTAAGTCTTCAGTACGCTTCCTATTACTGTGAAAAAAATAACATGATTAATACAAGGGGGACAAGTGAACATATTCTGCTATCAGCACATCAAATGGGAAAGTATGTATTATCTTAAAATGGTCAACATACCGCATCAGCTACAGTACATTCTGGAGGTGGGTCAATGTCCATGTTATTGCTGTCATCATCGTCATTGTCATCGTCATCATCACTATCATTGTCATCATCATCATCATCTTCTTCTTCTTCTTTTGACTTGGGCAGACAATTTGGTAGTTCAAATAGTTCTAGTTTAGGATGACGTTCAGGCTCTGGTTCAAGTTCAGGCTCCTTCTTCAGCTCTTTCTTGCTGGAAGCCACCAACTTTGGGTCGAATAAGATTTGGAGTGATAACTGTGCACGAGAACTTGTTTCGAAGAAGTCAAAATACTGGTTCAATTTGGCACAGCAATCAATACACACAGTCTTTGGCAGGGGGTCTTCTGGATACAACTGGAAGACATCCGTTATCAATAGGTGAGTGACATGATGTTTTGCAGGGTATGCTGTGCAGAAATAATATGGGACTTACTCATATCAATCAACTAAATTTAATTTGTTATTTATGAATTTAAGAAACTTAACATTATGAACCTCACTGTGATATAAAATAAGTTTATACAAGAGACTAAAATCAATCTGAATATGATTTATGCTATATGAACTGCATTATGCCAATAGCAACATCTTATTTATATTCAAAATTAAACTATTATAAAAAATGCATTTCTGAACACAAAATTTCAATTCAAACACCACTCTCAAAAATCAAACATGCACCTGACATGTACAACCTGCTATTCAATAAAGCTAAATTTTTGACAACACATATTTTAGTTATATGAAAATTAATAGAAGGAATGAGGCTAGTGACGACTGAAACGGACACTGACTTGGAAATCAGTAGCATTCAACAACGAAAATGTACTAAATTATTTGAAAGTAATTACATGGTTTAGACTGACATTCCTTTTCCAACTCTTATTCTTTTAGTAATGGAGGTTATATTTTAAAAACACCCTAATTAAAGGGAGTCAGTTTGGAGTGAATTAATTTGAGACTTATATGCAATCGGTTCATACACCAAACCCACTAGACAGTAATTCTGTACCTCCAAACCTAGGTATTACTTACTACCTTACCCAGATCTGCAGACATTGAATGATCTTTGTCGCTAGGTTCAATTTTTGCCCCTCTTCTTCGTAAATTCTAACGAAACTATCCCTTTCCTGAGCACATAAACGACACAGTTTATTGTTCCCCATGTCTCACCACCTAATGATTGACACTTTACGTCATTACAAACAACATAAGTTTGTTTATAAACAACTCCAAAACACACAAATACTAGTAATGCCGACCCACTTCTCAAAAAAATTCATGTACAATTTACGAACGCTGATAACAGAGCGCAGCACTATGAACTGTAGAGTTGAACGGATCGATAGCCTATGCATGATCCCTAATAGCGTACTTGTTTCCACCATTTTTAGTCAACATTTCAATCGCCTATCTTAAAACAATTTCTAAATTATAGCCTACTTTATATCAGAGCACTGCTAAGATTACGTGAAGACAGAGATATCGTCTTTGAACAAAAATTGACACAAGCAAACTTATGAATCTGCATGAAAATGGCTGTCTTCGGGGTTGTTGCATTGTGTAATCATGAATAAGTTTACCAACGTTTCGAAGGTAATTGCTATCTCCAGGGCGATGGTGGTCTTCTCTCAGGCTGCACGGCGCTACTACCTAAAATACCTCAAATTCTGCATATGACTGCGCAATTCACTGATGAAATAATTCGTGAGTGGGGTTGCTGGTCTAAGGACAGAGGCCCTCAAAATTTTTTCATTTTGTAAAACATATCTGTGTAGGCTTGTTGGATAGGGTTGTCTGCTTCTGACTTCGTATTTCGCTTTTACCAACGTACGGGTATCTTATCTTTCATTTTTGTTTCGAACTGTACAAGGGTCAAGCAACTGCTGCCATCTACACGTGCATGTGGAAAGTATACAAAGTTCTTCCCGCCGCCGTAACTTTTACGTAACACAAGACGAAGTGCGTAACATTCTTCCAGCATTGACAGAGGAGATAGATAGTTCGTAGTTGGGCGTTGTGCGTAGTGTTTGTTGAAGGTTTTGCTGGTGACAGATGAAGCAACATTCCTGAACAAAACAGAAGGGTGCACACTAAAATATTCAGCATGGCAGCATCTGAACAATTGCGAATTTCTCAGGTTGGTCTGGTTGCTCGCAGTCCAGAGGGTCATGCAGCCAAGGGAATGGCCATTAAAGGCCGTGAAGACCTGTGGGTAGAAATCCAAGCTAATACTTTTCGTAACTGGGTAAACGAACATCTGCGTACGGTGGGGACAGAAGTTCATGATTTGGTAGCAGACTTCTGTGATGGCACACGTTTATGTGCTCTTGTGGAAGTCCTCCAAAAGAGACCCTTGAGACCTGCGTGGATCCAGAGACCTGCTAATCAGCATCAGTATCTAGAGAATGTTGCTACAGCCCTTACAGCAATCGCCGCTGATGGTGTTAAACTTGTCAACATCGGTAAGTTAGTGTGTGACGTTTTCTTACTCGACAGGATTTTTAGTAAATTAGCAAATTACTTTTCACCAACAGTTTTAAAGCAATAAAAACTTCACGTTTTTAAATCAATTTAATAATGTTCTTCATTTTACTGATCACATAATACATTTTAAAATAATTGTGGAATACGTTGCGTTGCTCGAAAATATTTTATCTTCACGCTGAAGAAATTAAATTATTGTAAGAAGGCTTGTGAAGTAATTGGCATTCATAAGGAGTGCAAAACGGCAATGTATGTAGATATTAGAAGGAAGATGCTTTTGTGACAACGTGGTAACCCTGCTTTACAATATATAGGTCTACAGCCGACTTCGTCGCAATGATGTCAGCTATTACACATTCCATAAAAAATAAATTTCCTTGTGTGTATTTTTACTTTGTGAGGTTGGTTAACATCTCTCTTTTGGGTTAACATTTTCTCCTTGCCTTTAATTACTCCACCGTCTTAAACGAATTTGCACGCAGAAAACTCAGAAAGTATGTGTGTCCTTTGGAATTGCGGTTACCAGCAAGCCAGCTCTAAATGGATGATGTCATTCTTATTTGAAACTACCTTCAACAGCTATGCAGATTTAACTAGCGTTAAGTTGACTCTTTGCTTTGCAGAAAGTCTGTTAAACTATGTCATTGAGACTGAACGTCATGGTCGAGCGTTTAGCACTCCTGCTTCGTATTCGGAAGGTCCCAGGTTCGAATTTCGGCCCGGAGGCCGGCTATCCTGACTGAGGATTTCGTGATTTTCGGGGTAGTAACTTAAATTAGACCAAGACTTTCTTTAACATTCTTTCCAATTTATTATTCACCACCATCGTTTCATTCGACGCTATATAGTCTGAATTACCAAAAAAGCGTCGTTAAATAAATATACCGTTGAGTACTTTTGATATTATACTATGCATCATATATGTTACGCATAATCTTGCTCCTTGAGAGTTCTCCAGAAACGTGAGATGGAGTGCTTTTCCAGAAATAAAAATCCAGATTTTTATGCCATAATTAGCATGAATAAGTTCAAAAAAATGTGCAGTACCAGGATGCATATATCCCTCGTTAAGTATGAATCATCAGATGTAACATAGTCCTACTAAAAGTGGAAACGTCTTAGGAAGAAAAAGAGATGATTCTAAACCACTCAGTCTCCTTAATACTCCCTGAACACTAATGCAAATCACTGTATTAATTTGCTCAGCTGTTCTTTACACTGTTTATATATTTACTCACATTGTGTTTATAGGCCGATAAATAATAATAAATTATAATTGTAATTCAGTTTATTTATTGAAATCGAACGGGCAATTAATTTCTTACAAACAAAGAAAAGCATGTTTTAACTAATATAACTAACCCAGATTTTACTTACCTTAAACATTCCCATATACTGAGTTGTCGCAAGAAATTAAAAAAGTGTAAGCAATATAATGTAGGCCTAATGACAGGACCAGCTGTACGTCTTGCAACTAACACACAGGCAAACACCAGCACAGAAGGCGAACACTGTCCGGAAACGTCTTTGAGCTTTCATACAGAAAATAGCATATTCCGATGACTTAGTGTGTATATATGCTACGTACGTACTAATGTAGGTATGAATATATGTACGAATATATGTGTATTATGTATTCGTAAAGATCTCGCTCCTCTTGAGCAATTTTGCCAAACAGGAATAGCAAATCAACAAGTAGAAGTTCAGAATACAAAGTAGAGGCATGGTAGTAGTTATAGTAGTAGTAGTAACATAGTAAGTACTGTAGTAATAATGCATATCGTGTTGCCGTTGTTCTAAAAGACACGGTAACCGAGACCACTGCCACGAAGTGGACATTAAATCCTTGTTTGTTAGTAATTATCCCGAAACCAAGGTAAAGACAGTACAACATTTAAAGAAGCATTTCCATTTCCACAACCTATATAACTTGCGCTTCATACAGCTGTGCATGGCATTTTATTGCTAATATTATACAAGGGGAAATCATGAACAGGAGTGTGGTTAGCGTCATTACTAATGTTTATTGAGTATAACGAAACAGCAACTTGGTAACTTCAACGGTGGAGTAAGCTACGAACCTTATATCCTGCAGCGTCTAACATTGTTGCAAGCCTATTTTATGTAGCTTTTCGTTCGACGTTTCTGACTAATTTTCAAAGTCAGATGAGTAATGAAACGGGCTTTTCAGTGTGTTCAAAGCCTTATGAAGTACTAAACTGAGATTTCTGTATTGCCTTGCATGGCGCGACTTCAGTAATGTCAGGAATATGCCGTTTCCTGAATTACCAGTGTGTGTACTATAATGTTCATCCAAATTATATTGAAGCTCTACGTAGTGTGAGTCTGCACGTTGTCTATAGAAGTAAAATCTCAAATCGCGAGAGAGCGTATCGTATCTTTTTCCGAAGATAAGTCTAACGTGTTCACACGTTTGTAATTTTTTTTTTACGCAAGGCTCCTTCTTCCCATTGTATTTCCATCTACAGCTTTATCGAACGAGTTTATAGATGTAGCCATCACTTTTCGTATTTTAAAGGTCCGGTGTTGTATAAGCCCAAATTTGGATATCCTTATTGGAGTTTTACACTCAGAAAAATGTAGGATTACACTTAGATAAAAGTCACTCTCAATCTGAGTTACGATAAGTATGCAGTTTAACACGTTGTTACTTATCGGCCAAGATATTAGTTTGAGGAATGAGACTGAGAAATACGGAAATCTAAGCATTCGTTTACGTAAGGTTATGCTACTGTTTACAAACATGGTATCAGGATTGTTTTGTCCTGCATACCATCTGTACTAAGGAAGTATAAAAATAAAGAACCTTGGCTACCTATAATTCTTGAACTGTGGCTTGTATTGGAATTTCTTGTCTCTCCCATCTCAGTTACGTACACAATTCCTGCGATATTAGGTGACCTAATTCTGGAAATTTCGCCTTATATGAAACTATATCAGGATGAACATTTTATGTATAACCTTAATGAAAATGACTGCTTAATGATGTTCAGTGTACGCATATATATCAAATTCAGTCAAGTGGCATTTGGATAGTAATGAAAATTGCGTACATGTACAAATTCTAGAATAAATACGAACTATGATAATTTCTTTCTCGGACCGTAAGTTAAAAATAAATCAGCTGTAATACGATACATGTGAAATGTTGGTATTTTTTTATTCTGCAACCTTTAATTTACACATCATCTTTAATATAATGATCTCATTGACCTTAATTTTAATGAATTGTTGGTCAGAAACTGTGACACGTTTTAAAGAAATTAATTTATGAATGTGTGTTACTTTTGTTTCGAATTACTCTAAGTTCCTTTTAACCTCATGTCTTATCGTTCCACTTAACGCTTTGAAGCATAAAGCTAAAATAATATTAAAAAATGAAGTTCATACCACAAGAAACCACAGTGCATCCCCACCACAAAGATAAATTAGTTAATGCTTTTAGGAAAATAGCCATATAGCTGAAAATCATACGGGACCTAAGCACACACCCATGCCATTCCATGGAAGTTCCAAAGCATGTGGGTGGGTTCGACTGCGGAATAATGTTAGTGTTGTTTGTCGCCCACTTTCCGCGATGTGAGCATTACAAGGTGGCAGCGAACCGCTCAACATATGACACCCAAAAATGGTCATCAATAGAGAAACTAACTCGTGTTAGTGGCGGCTTGTCACTGACAACTTAGGAGCTTCTGAGGGGAAGAAGGGGCATCTCATTTCACGAATTGAGATGATTTGAGGGCAGGGTTCTGAAGACAGTATTTGGGCCGAAGAGAAGGAGTAATAGGTGAACGGAGAAACTGCTTAACGAAGAACTTCATAATATGAACACTTCACCAAATATTACTATAGAGATCAGATCACGCATGGTGAAAGGGGCTGAGCTTTTAATACCCATGTGAAAAATGAGAAACCATCTAAAATTTTACCCGGAAACTTTGAACGGAAGAGACAAATCTGGAAGACCAAGACGTAGATATGAAGATAATATTAACGTTGATATTAAAGAGAAGTTATGAGAATGCAGACTGGGTTAAACTCTCCCAGGATAGGTCCCATAAGTGGGTAAACACGAAAATGGACTTTAGAATTGTATAAAGACGGGAAATTTCTTGACCAGGCGAGTAACTATAAGCTTCCATGAGCAGAAATTAGCCAGGATTTTTCATAGTGAGATCCCTCAACATGTAATGTTTAATTTCAGTCAGAACATGTTTTGGAAGTAAGCTAATGACCCTCGAAATATTTGTGACGGTATTGATTCATTATAGGCTATGATGCTATGTTAGTCTTTGTCCATTGTCTGTGATTTGGTATACGACGTTTCGGGAGATGGTTCTTTCCTAGTATTCATGTGAGTGGTCATCGTACTGACAGGATTTATTATTATCATCATCATCATCATCATTATTAGTGCTATTTCAACATAATATTAGTATGATGTGCAGGCTGGTTGCATAGCGGCACATATAAGGCAAGAACATTGTGTCAAATGTCTGAATATGATGGAAAACATGCACTTTCTATTGTCAGTCGGTACCAAGGACAACTTGTCTTGAAGGCACAGCTTTGCAGAAGAAATAATACAGAGTTTTAGGTTACTTACGTACTGGTCTTTAACGCGGGTTTTAAGCGGGACGTATAGCACGCAGGAATACGAGAAGTGCACACACAATTTCAATCTGATAATTGGAATGGAAGAGTCCACCAGGGAGACCTACGCATACATAGTATAATAATGTTAAAATGGATCTTAAAAAATATGGAGTGAATTCAACTGACCCAGGGTAGTTCCCATGTTGAGCTACGACAATAAATCTTCGGTCGGCTTTTGTTTTAATAAAAGCCGGGGAATTTCTTGACTAGCTAAGCGATTATCAGCTCCTCAAGGACTCTTCCGTGGAGTTAGTTAATAGCCAATACTAAACCGCGCTGATGGAGTTATTTGATTTTACAT